GCAGGATCCTGCCTCACCTCTGCTATATTTCCTATAATGGCAATAGAGTAACTCGGCACCGTTAAACCTTCCTCCTTTCATTTATAATTTTTTTCTCCAGTTTATTTTGGACAAAGTTTACCAGCCCAACTGCAGTTCAAATTTGACATTCTGTGAAAAATTTGAGCAGAGTCTTTGACAAAGTTTTACATGAATGTTTAACAAATAAAGATAGAAAGTTTACAAAAATGGTACTGTGACAATATGCAATGAGTAGTTTTCCTGAACTGGAGCTGTGCGCATAACTGCACGCTGTTTTCACCTTCAACAGTTTCCACTTACACATGATTATTCCTTCTCCTGTCTCTCAGTGCTACAGTAATTGAAAGAGGGGAGGTGCCTGGCAGTGCAGGCATTAGGTGATACCTCTGTAGCCAGAGCAGAAATGACATGACAGAGTACCCTGGGTCAGAAAATGGACCATGAAGAGGAAGCAAGAGGAAGGATGCAAAGGAAATCCAATTCCACTGCGCACTGCAAACCAGGGCTCAGCTCCCACCTGAGGTACTCTGGTAGTGGTTTGTACCACCGAAGAAAAAGGTCTCAGGTAGGGGCCTCAAGACCTAGTGAGAAGAAACGATTGCAATCACCGACTCACGGATCACATTTAAAATGCACAACCCTCTTGAGAATGACTTTTTTTCACTGAATGATCAGAAATACCCTAATGTAGACATTCACGCAACATAAGAAAATCATTATCTTTCTCCAGCTACACAAACAAAAGGCTCCTCTGCTGCTAGGCAGCTACAACTCAATGAATGGATAAAATCATTTATACTGGGCATAATTTAGCATAATTTATAAAATCTGTATAATCTCATTTTCAAAAGGTTCAAAAGCCCTGTTCAATACCAACAGAAACTATGGCTGATGAACACAGCTGAAATCCAAGTCACTTACAGATAAGCATACTAAATTCTACTTACCAACATTAAAGCTCTAATACTACAAAACAACACAAAAAAAATCCCTATGAAGTTTTGGCCAGTTCACTAACCACCAGAAAAAGGAATATAAAGTGACACAGGTTTTTTTCAGTACAAGAACCTAATGCTCATCCTCACAGCAGGCAGTTTTTTCTTAGCAGTGAAATAACCTAGAAAAGCAACATGCCACTTATCAGTAGTGCTATATAGCAATTTAAATATGGAGTGATGAACATCATATCCAATCAAAAATGCTGGGAGACTTTAAAATAGGAGACTGTATTTAAACAAACAGGTATTTAGCTGGAGAAGACTAGTACATCAATACTTTCGGGAATTAACACTGAACTCTAAGGAGAGAGTGTAATGATTTTGCTTTTAAGGATCTTCTAAAAAACATTAACAGAATGCTACAAATGACTATACGTGAGTCACCTAATAGATTGATTTGACAATGACTAAAAAGGAAAAAGGAAATATACTGTCTGCTTGCAGAGTTGCTTCTTAGGGTATCTCGAAATCTCAGTACTGAAAAACAGGAAATTTCTTTCATCTGAATACCAGCCCAGTTCTCTTCAGCTCAAGACCTGACCGAAGAGGCAGGCAAGAGCACTCCGCAGCCCGAAGCAGGACTAGATACAGAGCACTGATCTTCCACACCCATGGGAGTGCAGTGGCCCACTACAGGCATGCAGTAATAGGAAAAGGATTGAGAACAATTATAAAAAAAGCACTGTTCTCTCTACTTTGTAACATTACTTCAAGATGTAAAGGGTGTCTTTTAACCCTCTACATGTGTTGAATACTCCCTCATGTAGCTGTTAGGATCATTCTAACAGATGATTCTTCTTTCCCATCTTGGATGGCCAAGCTCAGATGCCAGTGACTTCATTTTTGAGTGTTTACACTCCTGGGGATGTTTACATCGTGTAAGCACACAGACATCCACCTTCAGTGCCGCATTAGACTGGGGATCTTGACATAAGAGAGACAGATCAAAAAGGCTGAATCAAACATGTAAATGAGCTTTTCTTTTTTCAAGAGACTATGCAGAGATTCTCAGCATTTTACCTGGCACCTAAATAACACACCCACCATTATCCTATACTTTAAAGCACTCTATTGTCTGTTTGTCTTTACTCAAGAAAGATCTGCACATGCCCTGAAAAGATGCTTGTGCTGGCACACTACCTCACCCCTCGCAGGCTGTGTTTTAGCTTACTCCTAACATGCAAGTACACCACACCATAAACACGCTCAGCAGCCTGTGCCAGACCAGCCGGATGAGCACGGTGTCTCTGTCATATCTGCACAGTAGGACTGATGCTTTCTCAAAATACTGGACTCACTTAACAAATACACTGTACAGTTAGGGCTGCAAATGTGCCGCTTCATAGTTCTGGAGTTTTGAATCTACAGCAACCTGGTCAGAATTATTTCCCCCGAGCAAACACACGTGTCTTAGTTTGGGCTGAAATAGAGTTAATATTCCTTTTCAGGGACTAGATGAGTGGTGTGTTTTGGATTTAGCTTTGGGTTTGGTATGGGAAGAATGCTGATAGCACACTGATATTTTCAGCTGCTGCCGAGGCTTCAAGGACTCTCCGACTCTCCATGTCCTGCCCGTGCGCAAGGGCACAGGGAGCAGGGAAGGAGCATGGACACAGCACCTGACCCTAACTGGCCAGTGAAATATTCCATATCATGGAACGTCACGCTCACTATATAGAGGAGGGGTGGTTGGGAAGGAGCTTTCTCTCTCTCGCTTCCGGGGTTGCGATTGTGGGATCTTGGTATCTCGGGGTCGCTGGCCAGGAAGAGGCTGGGGATTGGTTAGCGGGTGGTGAGCAATTATGCTGTACATTGCCTGTTTATATATTTCTTTTTGTTTTCCCCCATCATCGTTATTGTTTTCATTTTATTGCCATTATTAAACTGTTCTTATCTCAGCCTGCGAGTCTCCCTTCACCCCTCTAATCCCCTCCCCCATTCCCAGGTGGGGAGGGGGAAGGGAGGGTGATTAGCTGCAGTGGTTGGTTGCCGATCAGGCCCAAACCACAACAACAGGAAAGCCCCAAATTCTACTCAAAATTTATAGTGACAAACAAGCAAACAAACAAACAAAAAAAATACCAAACAAAAACCAGACAAGACTTTTCCATAAGAATCACAGACAAACAGCAACCCCTCTCACAAGCAATCTCTGGGTCCTAGTCAGAGACAGGATCCAATTCTCCAGACTCAATCATAAACCTGTTTTGTTCACTATGTAATTTCTAACATCTACAACAAAATAAGTAGGAATTTTACAGCCTGCTTTAACCATGCAGCCCCGATTCAATTTTGTTCTTTACGCTGAATGAAGCAACTGCTCTTGGCGAAAAAAGCTGCTGGTGAGTCATCAAGGGCTGCATCGTAAGGTGTCCTAGGGGAACAGAGAGAAGCAAAAGGAGGTTTCTGAGGTAACCTTTATTCTGCAACTTCCTCATGTTTGAGCATTTAAATTCTAATATTCTTTTAACCTAAGAAATAATACTGCTGCGGTTTTTTTAATACAATTTCTGTCACTTCAAATTTAAACCCCTAAACCAATTGCAATGACAGCACTTATTCTCATATAGCTGCTCTAATGCAAAAATATAATTATTGATACTTCTTTTTATAAAGAGCAGGAGATAAAGAAAAGCTAGGTGAATGTGCCTGCATCTTAAATTCAGACTAATTTACTAAATACTTTAAAATATTTGCTGCATAAGAAATGATATGTATGCTGCATGCAAATATTCTAATGGCATTACTTTTATAGTAAGTAAAGTCACATCACGTGACTAGATGGCTAATCGAGGTTTGTATCCTAGCAGTATTTTGAGACAGCTGACTGTAAACCATTGAATGGTAAAGTTGTGAGTTTTGAGTAAGCAGATCTTCTAGTTAAAGAGATTGTATCAAACTCTCTGCTCCCTCCTCTTCCCACCTCACTTTCCCTGCTGCCAACCCCCACCAGGGATGTTGCCTTAATGGTACGTGTCTTTTGCTGTTGGAAAACAATAGAGAAAATTTAAAAGTTTTGCTTGCAGCTTTCAGCTGCTTACAATGGGATGTATTTCCCAATCCCTTCTCGTTTCCTCCTTCTCTTTGAAAAACAAACAAAAAAAGGAAACCATCTATTGTAGGTAAAACCATAGTTTAAATTAATAAGGAGACACAAGACAAAACCACTAACTATAAGTTGATCTGCTTCTGCACATTTACTATCGAGATTGAGAAAGTCAGGGGTCTAGAGCACCAGAAATGAGGCTGCAAGAAAGGCTTCCTGGTAAGAAGTAGCATCCTTGGAAAGAATAAGGGGCTGGAGAAGCAGAAGATGAAGATCACAGCAGCAGGAGATGATCCTGGAGCTCAGTGAGCTGCACAGAAACGGATGCCAAAGGCTGCCCAGGGACACTGGCCAGCAGGACCTGAGACTGGTGACTGAGCAGCTGCACAGCCCAAATGCAACTTCTGCTCAACCCTCCTGATAGCAACGATCTCCCTGCTGGGAAGGGAACCTGAGGCTAAGTGAACGTAACACTGTTGGCAGGGAGGAGAGAAAAGCAGGTAAGTACATGAAATTAAAAGGTAGGATAAAAGCTCAAATCTTGTTGGTTCTTAAATAAACCTCACTATCCAGATCTACTAGGGACTCTCATCCTGTCTCCCCTGTGACCCAATCCCCCCTTATCAATATAAATAACTTTCCCGTCACACTAAAAGTATATACACTGGCTGTGTCTACTCTGAAATGAAGTCCACTATCCCATGCCTGGCAATCAAGGGAGTAGGACCTGCATTCTCACCCCTATCCTCCTGTGAGCTAGGGATTTCCTGGAAGAAACTCTTTCTGAAGGTGCTCAGAGCTAGAGGAAGCTACAGGATGCTCCACCGTTTCTCCCTGTGCCAATGACCAAGGGACCAGGACACGAGACACTGGGAAGCAGGATGCATCCGAGAACAGGCTTGTCCTCTAGTGTGCATACAACTAGAATTTATCAATTTTATCTGAATAAATTATTTTAATAACCAGAATATTTTCAATTCAACAAGTAGTATTCAGGAATACACAGGAGAGTGTTTGGCATTTGAAAGTCATCCGTGCAAATACTTATTTGAACAATCTTCATTTACTCTTCATCAATGCTAAAATCCTCTTCATCCTGCTGAAATGATGAATTGTCCAAATCTTACTTAAACAACATATGCATTGAAAGCTCCTTAAAAACACTCAAAAAACAGAAGAACAACAAAAAAATCCCCACCAATCCCTCAAAACAAAAACACACCCTAGACTCCATACTTTCCCCACAGTTATAACCAAAAACCTTAGGATACAAAAGGATAAATGTAAGCAGCTCTGGTAGTCTGACCCACAGTCAAATGTCCTTTTCACGAAGCAGCACATAAAGCATAACGAATACTCTTGGTCCAAATCAACAAAATATTTAAGCATGTACTGGAATCATTTTCTTGATTACAGCTATTCTCTTAAACCTAGCTTAATACTGTCAGGTTTACTAGCAGTTTTTGAAACAGTTATTTAATTTTCTTCGAATTTACTGCTGTACTTCAGTTTTCAATGCAATTTGGATCATGAGAAATGTCTTCTATTTTAACAGTTATAATCTGAACCATTATCAATTAACCAGTCAAGCCACAAAATACTGACTCCTTCATTTCCCCCATCGTTGTAGTTTCCATCTTAGAGGAGGAATTCAATTAAGCACGAGAGACTTCTGTAATACAAGAGTAGAGACTACTACAAGAACAACCACCAGTTTACAACTTTTAATGCCTAGATACTTTTCAAAACTGCATGTCTGCATTTTCAAAACCAGAAAGTACCATATATAGAGAGAAGACTAACTAAGTAACAATAAAAAAAAAAAAAAAAAAAGCTGTCACTGTCCACAGGAACCATGTAACCATGTCTAGTCACGTTTTCAGTCAGTCAGTCAGTTAGCTGAGGGTCATGTCATTATTTAGTTTCTGTAGGAAAAACACAAGTACAAAAATAGTATCAAAAAGCAACATACCTATTTTTATTTTTAAAAATGTGTATTAGAAAACAATATTTACAACAGCATATAAATAAGGCTTTAATATATTTAGAAGAATAATACTAAAATTTTATATATATTTCTCTTGTTTTTAAAGTACCTATTTTTGCTGGCTTTCACACACTGCTCAAATTTTTTCTGCAATATACTGTTGATACAAAATATAGTTAACTTTTTTATTCTGGAGTATATTTCAACTATGATACAATAACTTTTTTAAAAACATTTTTGCACACAAATAAATCATTCTAAATATACATGTTGAATTTCATGATTTTAACAAAGGTTTAACTAGAAAAATGAAAGCAAATCAAATTAGTGATGCAGGACTTTTTCAGGACAAGGACAGTAAAAGACAGAAATAACCAAGTATTTAATGACAGAAAAAAACCATCTTATTCAACTTAGTAACTAATTACTTAAAAACAGCCTCATTTTCAGAAGAGGAAAAATGCAAGGAATCCATTTACTGTGGGTTAAAGCTGATCAGCCACGATCATTAAGAGCCACAGAATCCAGCCTTAGATATCCATGTTTTGCATTTCTAATAGAGTGCTAGTTAGAAGCTCTGATTTCTAACAACTACTTGAAAGCTTCACGAAAAATATTTGAGGTGGTTTTTGGTTTTGGTTTTTGTTGTTGTTGTTTGTGGGGTGTGATGGTATTTAAATAGAACTACTGCACTGCAATGAAGAGATTAATCGGAATTCCACAATACAGTCTTCTGAAATACACCAAATTCCTCCCTTCTTCTATTTGTGAGTGATACAATTTACACAACAGGCATCAGACAATTGCAGTGAGGTTCTCGTGAAATACTCAAAGCAATGCAAAAATCTGAGTAGAAAGCACAAGCTGGTCAACATCAAGAACATTAAGATAGCTTCTGGTTTTAGCTACTGCCAGGAAGCAGACACTGTAGTTGTATTCTCAAACCTACACTGACTCAAAGCAAGATAGTTTGGTTATTTCAATCATTAATACTTACTTGGCATAAAAGGAAAAACCTTGCCCCCCCCAAAACTTACATTAGAACTTAAAGTAGTTAAGAGAACTTTATTGGTCTGCACTTCCATAATTTCTCTGCTACTTTTAACTACTCATATAAAAAATTGAATTTTCATTGACTTGTAGGAGAGCCAGAGCCTGCAAAATTCGTTAGATGGATTAGTTCAGAATATTAATACACATGTATTCAAATTATTCTGATAAGGAAAGGTTGTTGTAAGATCATAGATTGTTCTTATGATCAGAAGTTTACATTGCAAGAGCAGTATCAGTAGCATACCATTACAATAAAACATTTTTTTAAGAAACAATCTTGTAAATTATTTTTTAAAAAATATTTACATAAGAAAAATATTATTGGGGAAAACTTCCAAAAGTCAGACAAAAACTGTGTTGAAATAATAAATATTGTATTTAAATTGAATTAGTCAATGGAATTAAATTTATTTTCATATAGATTCTATTGAATTCACAGATCTTACCACAGATATTAATCAGAGAACCTTGCATAGAAAGCACTATTGCAGAAATCCAGTCTCCTTGTTAGAGATAAAAGGCAAGCAATACAACAGAACTTTAGAAAGGATTTCATTTCAAGAGGCAATGACTTCCTCAAGCGAAAACTCATGGAAGTTTTAGCTAAGATTACTTCCTCCAGCTAAAATTCAAAAAGAACAAAAGTCAATATTCTCACATCTTAAAAAAAAAAAAAAAGTAGTATGTCAGAGGCAGAGAGAATTCCATCCCCTTTCACATGCACAACTTAAAGCTTTAATTGAAAGCAGAATATAAGCCTCTAAACTACTGTAAAACTTGTTTGTCAGTCAGTCCAATGCAGAGTCACACAGTGGTAAGCCTGATTTAAATGGCTGTTTTTTAAAAGTAGCACAGGTGGAATCTTTTCTTTTCATGTACCATTTCGTTTGAATTTGAGAAACTGGCTAAAGGACAAAAAGAGAACAAGTAATTTTTCCTGACTATCCTAAGAAGAGATAGATGATTAGACAACCTGCTAAGAGACTCAGATTCAGGAACCAGATGCAACAAGATGTAACATAATAAATTTAGAAAGCTCTTCTACCTGTGTTATTGCAGACACAGCAGATGAAAAGCTAACCAGAGGGGAAATATTCAGCAGTCATTTGCACCAGAACTAGAAGTAATCTGTCCAAGACAGATTTAGATGTCCATCTTTGAATAAACTAAAACTAGTATTCTTTATTATTTGAAAATTTACAGAAATGCAAAAACCTAGGAAAGGACAAAGAGCTCTGCTGTAATTTTGCATGTGTAAAAGCGGTTTCTTCAGATATGACCTTATTTCTCCAGTTGTCTTCTTAGGTAAAATGACACAATAGCAAATGTGTATGTCTTACCCTCACCTTATAAGGGAGTTCAAGTTTCTAATGTATACCTATTATTGACTATTTAGAATTTTCAAACATAATTTGAAATATAAAATAAGTTTTAGCCTTTAGAAAAACACAATTTGGTGACTAACTGCACCTTTTGTCAGCTGGAGATCTTAAAGAATCTTCTCAAAAATCACAATGGAAAGATGTGTTCGTGTGTGCGCATGAGTAAAAAGAAAAACAGTTTTAGATTGACAATCAGAAGAGAACCTCCCAGTCTTCTCACTCTTACCTTTCTTAAAAACAAAGGAAGAAAAAGTAAGGATAAATCATCTTACTAATTTTGGATGCATACTGTATCTATACTTTTTCCAATAAAAAGTAGTCAAGGCAGACCTAGTATTACATTACACTTTACCTCATAATTTTTCCTTTAGTGACCAAGAGGCTGGCCTTTTATTATTGGAGGTCACATTAAAAACAAACAAAACCTTTGTACAAAGATAAAAGCATGAGTACAAGTTGCTTAAAATTGCATTCACCACAGCTGCTGGTTAAAAAAAAAAAAAAAAAAACAAAAAAAAAAACAAACCTTTCACATGGCTTTAGCTACAATTCAGTGCAGAAAAAGAATGCTATAAATCCATTTTTTTAAAAAGCAAATTGTGTATAAAGACTAAGGCCACATTTAGTAACTGCTCCTTATCAAAAGAACAACATGAAAGTCCTTAGGAAAAAGGGAGGAAAAGAACATTGTGGGCAAAATCTTTTTTGGTCTTTGCAACTCCTGGCTCACAAAGAGTGCCTACACAAGGAAAGGTACAAGGAGTGAAGTTTAGAAGTAAAATATTGATGTGAAGAGAGGCAGGATTTCATGTGTGGTTTTCTGAATGAGTTAAAGCAAAACTGCATGACCCTTATAAAGATAATATGGCTACTGAAATTATTTGGAAGCTACAACAACATTTGGCAGATATCTTGTAGGGAACAGGACTTAGCCTTTCCTCCCCCAACTATAATTCTCTTTTTGGTAATAGTTCTAATATTAGAAAAATAAAAATAAACTTAAAAAAAAAGTTATATAATTTGAATCAAACCAATGTTTTAAAAGAAGTAGTGAATTTTGGTCCCTATAGTTTATAAAACCTCTTTAGGAGCTCAGCCAGCTTGCATAGGCCATAAGCATCAACTAATAAATTCTCAAACTTATTACCTTAAACATACACCTCAACCCTTTCACAACAGGCACTGCAGTATTTTCTTCACCATCACACATGCCAGCTACACCTGATTTCTGAGAATCCAGATGACCCAAATATCACGAACATCTGGTTTACCTGGCAACCTTCCCTGTCCTTCCCATGTCCTTTTTTTATTTACCCCTTCCCTCCTTTGCCCTTCAAGGGCTGAACTCTGTATCTTTATCCAACACCATTGTGAGGGCATGTGTTTTTAATGAAAGAAAGACACACACAAGCTGATCTCAGTTCCATTGTTTATTTTTGCATACTCTTTCAATGTTAACTGATGCTCCTATGTACATAAAGTGATTATGAACATCCAGACTGATGTTAATCAACTGGTTCATATTTGTTCAAAAATTATAAAAATAGATTTTTACTATAGTGTACGTGTGCATATATAAGCATACACACACCCATATATACATATATACTACAAATTAAATTTCAAATTAAATTTCAAGTTGTTACCAAAAAATAGCTTTAAAGTTTATCCTTACATGTTCATATCTAGCTTCAAAATATTTTGCTTATCACTATTCCAAGTAGTTGAACTTCAGTTTAAGTAACAGCTCAGACTGGGTACTCACCTGCTCAGTAAGTTCTCTGACGTTTGTTAGACTCTTCTGTAGGCGAATCTGCCAACCTTACTTTAAGCCTGACACCATTCACAATCTTGCCATGTAACGCAGTTATGGCATCACTAGCACTTGCTCTGTCTGCAAATTTTGCATAGCCCACATTTTTTCCAGCCACAAGGTAAACTTTTATCAAGTGTCCAAAACGACTGGGGGCAGCAGCGGGGGGAAGGGGAAGAAAAAGAAAAAAAGATCATTTACAAGTTTTGCTGCAGCATAGATGCCTATTATCCAATCTGAAGTATATATGATTTGGTAGTGGCAAAAATGACATACTCATACTTTCCTGTGCTGCCCTCTTCCGTAAATCCCAGTTTTCATATTCCTTTCTCTAAAATTCCAGGAAATTCCAGAAATTGCCTACAAACTTTTGCGTTTATATTTTCTACAGAATATTACAGAAGAACTACAAGCATCAGTGATTTATCTCTTATTTAAAGGAGTATGTAAAGCTAATCAATACCATAGTCCCCAAACACTAAATGGCACTCAGAAAAACCCCAACAAAACCAAAAGAACCCCAGACAAACCAAAAGGAACATACAAACAGACCAGCAGATAATTTAGAGGCTAAACTTGCATCTCACTTAAATGTACTTGCTCAGCTGTGATTCATCTTTGAAAAGGTCTCACTGAAATGACTTAGAAAGCAAGTGCTAAAGCTTTACAGAAAGACCCAGCTTTACAAGTCCTCAGGAGATTCCTAGACAGTTGTTTAAAAAACATTTTTAAAAAAATAAAGTCTTCTTGCTTCACACTGTGCCAAGAGTAGGGTGCGTACCCTTTTTCTTCCCCAGCATCTGATTAAGAAAATCCAGTATATCAAATAGGTAGTTTCCAATTCCACATAAATGCATATTGTTTCTTTTTCTCTCCTGGTGCTTTGAAAATGTTTTGGCTTTCCAAAGATGTATTGTAAATGCCAGGTATTAGAAAAGGGAAATGTCTTTTTCTTCAAGAGCATACTAAAAATAAACAATATAAAATACTGAAGAACAGCTGAACTAGAGATTTGTTTTAAAAATGACAAAAAATGTTCCTTAAGACTTTGCTCCTCATAGGGAGGTAGTGTGAAAGGATGGTTAAAATAGTGTCAGTAAGATGCTAACCATAAAAATAAGAAAAAAACCTCCCTATACTTACTCCCCTAAGTTACTGTGGAAATTTATCAAAATACTTAACGTTCCTTACAGAAATATGTATGAGAAAATGGCAAATAAATTAGTCTATAAGAACCAGAAGTACTACATTTTTTGGTTAAAAAAATGTTAAGAGACTATACATTTTACTTCAGACTACGTTAATCAATAATCAAGCTGCTGTACTGACGACATTGCACCTATGCTTCAAGGTGGATTCCATTACACAGTAGTTTCAAAAAGCAACTGTTACCTATTGATTACTGTGCACTGTCTTTTCTAGAAAGAGTTTTCATGATGACAATCTTTATTTTCAACATTTATTTTAAATATTTCGTGGTTATTTTTTTGGTTAGAGAACACTTATTTGTAAATGGAGTCTTACCAGAACACATCCTCCAATACATTTACAGGTAAAGGATGGGGATGAAAAAGTATGAAAAGCCTTTCCTTCACCAAAGTGTCAGGTGGAACCTTTTTTTTGTGTGGTGGAAGTATGGCATCTGTTTGGGGCTGAAGTAATTGGGAGCCAGAAGTTCCTCCAAATGCCTGCTGAAATACGGGGAAGAAAAAAAAAAAAAAAAAAAAGCAAGTGTAAACTAACAGATGGAGGGGTCGGAAAGGGTAGTCATTTTACCTTTTATACAATTTTTATTCCCACCAAAGGACATAAAGAGGATCTACCAGTTCTCATCTTAATTTGTTTACTTTGGTTATTTCATTACGTTGGACAATAAATCCAAATAAGGTTCCTTTACAGGGAATAAAAAAAAAGTTCAAACCAACCAGAGGTACATCTTAAAAATGTAGTATTTAAAACAGTTACAGATGAAAGTGTTCTTTATTGACATGCCTAAAGTCTCTTACAACAATTCAGAAGAATATTAGCAATATCATTATATTAACTTACAGGAGGGGTCCTATACTGCTGAACAATTGTATTGTTACTCCGCAACACTGATGACACTTGTGCTGTTACCAGCTGTGTTGCCATTTTTCTGATGAGGCTGCAAGCAGAAATTATAATAAACTACTTTAAAGAAAGAGCTAAGTTATGGTATTCTTAAATTCAGCAAAAGAAAATCAGTTTTAATGCACATCTATAAGTAACTTTTGAAATCTGTCAACTCATGTAGATAACAAAAAATCAAGTCAGGCTTTCATGACATGCTAGATATGATCTCAAAGTATGCATGCTAGCTGCAAATCATTGAAAACACTCATACATTTCTACATTTAGATATTAAACACTCTGATTTTTTAATACTCTAGGAGAAAAAAAATAAAAAATAACTTTACAGAGTCCACTACATTTTGTGAAAAGTGCCTAAAAGGCAGAAGGGATGGAAAAAATGTCACCTGTTTTCAATAAAGAGCACAGAGGTTCAATTCAGAAGTCAAAATATTATCACAGAAAGTTTACTTCCAGCTCTCATCTACCAGTAATTTTGATTTGTTCTGTTGCAGAATAAGAAAAAGCAATTGTACTTTTTGCATAGATTCATAGCCCGTGTTGTAGGGCCATGAAATAGTATGAATTATTGAAGAATGAAGGAAATTGTTTGCAAGAAGGATGGTTGCAATGAATATATTTTTTTTAGTTTAGATCAGGCATGTACTTCTGAAGTGAATCTCCCCATTATCCCTCCTTATTGTCCTCATTCATATCCCAGAATAGGTTTGACATGAACTAGATTCCTTTATGATAATAAGCCAAAATAATCAATGCAGGAGCACACCTAAGCCGCTACAACTTGCGATGGATGTTTGAATCACAGAACAAATTAGAGATGGTCAAAGTAAAACCTGAGGATCCCCATACAGTGGGAATATCAGATCCTCAGCATCCAACAGTTTTACTCTACCTGTGTGCTTCACAAGGCTACTATTTGCAATACTGCAGACACAACCAAAAGATCAAAGCAGATAAATCTGGTTTTAACACAAAAACCTCATCAAAAACACATTCCAGCCTCGCTACACATTACATAGACATTTACAAAGATTCTTGCCAAATCCAAGATTTTCCAATGTATCTTAAGAATATGTATTTTAATCTTTTCTTTAACAAAGACTAGTAAGTTTCAAAATGCTTATCCTAGACTTTTTTTTAAAAAAAAAAAAAAAAAAAAAGAAAGAAAAACAAACAAAACCACCTACATTTCAGAAAATACTATCTACAGGTATGAAACAAGATCAGTGACATTGCTGTTACTTATGTTAAGAAAAATATTTTTTTCTTTTTAAATTATGCTCTCCAGAACACAAGTTACAACTTTCTGTCCCTATATATAGGTACTTACTCTGAGCTATCACTCCCATCTTCTAGGAAAATGACAGTTAATCGATTTCCAGGAGGATACTCAAAACCGTGTAATTTATACTTGGCATATATCGCTGATGCAGCAGTGCTGTACTGAATCACAGCGTACCCTACAAATACAGTGCACAAGATTTACCCTTATCATACTCAAACTAAGAACAAACTACACTCATATAAAGCAATATGATTAAACTGCACATTAGTCATGGACGATACAAAATTCTTAAATCTTCTTACCATGCATTACATAACATAATAACAACATCAGTAGTAGCAATGAAGAAAACTTCAGTGGAATTAACTAGTGACAGATAAACTGTATTTGTGCTAACTTGAAAAGCTGGTAATAAAGCAACAGAAGTGAAAACATGTATTCTTCCCCAACCCTGAATTAGAAACAAAAAACATACACTGTTTCATTTCAAAATGCAATTACCCCATCAACCCTGAATCTCAAGTACTGTACAGCTACATTTTACCTATGAATCATTTCCATTTCCACCTTCTCGGAGAAGAGACCTCTTTCACATTTTACTCAGCAACAGCTAAACAACAAGACTGAAATCAAAACAATCCTTCCAACACAAAACATGATTTGTAATGGGATGACTTAATTCAGTTTACTCATGTCAGCTTCTACCCACAGACACACACCCGTTTCAAGATGAAGACTCAAAAGATCTGTTTAGACATCATTTAACCTAGATATATAATAATTTTTAAAGTTTTTCTCCATTTATTCTGCCCAAAATTATGAACTTAATTTGACCAAAAACCTCTTCTCATGGTTTTGACTCTGTCCTTCTTAAGATTCTATTATCTGAAAAGAAAGGTTTTTAAGGCTATCTGTAAAAAGGAGTTCAAACAAAACTGAATTTTGAGGTTTATGCATCAGCGATAGCAGCAACCATTGATACATAAAACATTAATTCTTTCCAAGAAGCATACTGTATTTTGCAATACAAATTAATTGAAGTACAATTAAAAAGCATTCCCCTCAGAGAAAGGGAGGGGAAAAAAAAAAAAAAAAAAAAAGTTTTGCACTTTTACTTACCACTATTGGTATGAGGATCTCGCTGAACATCACAATATTCCAGTCCTGGAACTAGATCAAAGAGGGCAAACAGCTGCTCTTGGACAAAGGGAAGCCGTGATACCACTGAGAGACGTTTGGAGATTGACTCTTGAATTCTGCTCTCATTTTTTTCAAAACTACAAAACTCTGGCTGCCCACCTCAGAAATCCACATAAAAATAATTCATTTCAGCCATCACAATAGCATGACTTCATTTCATACATATTTTTCATTCAACTTTAAAAAGTAATCTAAGTCAATTATATACTAATGGTAATGTGTTTATACAGGTCATAAAATAATCGGCCAAGCAGAGCAAAGCAAGCCATAACAATAAAGAAACTAAATATCTAGCTCATTTCTAACTCCAGTATCCGATCTACTATTTAAGTGCTGACCTAAGCCTCTGTTAGCTTCCTTTCTTCCAAACTGCATCCTTATTTTGTGACCATACTCAAGACTACGAACCGTTTTTAGTATAAAATTATGAGACTTACAAAATGGAAGTGTATTTCCTCTTGGTTCTTGCCTCATGTTGCTACTATAAAAATCATGTTCAAAAGACTCAGATGACTTATTTTTAGGTTCAGCCAAAATGGCCCTGTAGCCTGAAAGAAACAATCACATATATGGCAACACCTCAACACACCTGAATTATCTGACCAGATCCACATTCTCCAAGTACCATATTTAGAAACATATTATTCAGGAAACCCAATGAGGGTTGGCTTTTAGAAAATGACTAATCTATGACTCTTTAAGTCTGCCATAATAATTGTGTGAAAGTTAACAAATTTCACAGAGAACTACTCCTAGTCACAAGTTAAGCACAACAGAGCCCACCTGATGTGAGAGTGACCGAGCACCAGCACAGGTGGTGCCTGAGCAGAGGGGTTGGGCAAGATGACCTCCAGAGGTCCCTTTCAACTTCAACCATCCTGTGACACTTGGCAGGATTCAGCAACACTCCAGGGGCCATCGCCTGAACTTCCATACTATAACAGCGGTTCACGTATGTTTTGCACTGATCTAGGTTTTGCTTTTATGAAATAAATAGGTATTACTCTCAGGCTATTCAACTAATTCCGTTTTAACCTCACAACAAAAAAGGAAATAAAATGTAACTGCTAAGTAATCTCAGACTCATATTCCTTTGCAAGAATTGTCACAAATACAATTTTTGTAGAGCCATTTATGACAGGAAAAAAAAAAAAAAAACAAAACAAACAAAAAAACCCCACCACAACAACAACAAAAAACACACAAAAAAACCAACCACACCCACACACCAAGTTGTTTCATATTTGTGATTAAGCAAACACTGAACAGGAGGTTGGACTGGAAGGCTGCTGCTAGGTTTTCCCAAAGGCTTTTCTTCTCCTCCTTGAGCAAGCCCAGTTCCCTCCGTTACTCCTCGTAAGTCATGTGCTTCAGCCCCTGACAACCTTGGTGACCTTCCACCAGACTCACTGAAATTCATTAACAACTTTTTGGTACTAAAGTATAAATGACAAATGATTGGTCATAAAGCATACAAAGTCTTTTCATTCTGTAACAAATTAATCATGACATTAAATGAAAACAAACAAAAAAAACCCTTGAACTTCAATTAGGATGAATTTGTTCTTAAATAAATGTAATCACAAGAGAAGCCCTACAGACTATCAAATGTATTGTTAGATATAAATTCATTTTACAGTAAACACATTGATTAAAAATGCATATTCCCAGGGATATATCAAAATGAGGTTTTCTTGTGTATGAAGCCTACATTACAGGCCAATAAATATGCATGAATGAAAACTCTGTATCCATTTCCAAACTCTTTTCACTGATCTTACTTGCAGTTTGGTCCTGCAAGAATGTAATCAGGTGACTGTCCTCAACGAATGTTAGTAGTACTACTTTTTTATTTGTAATAGAATTTTGTCTCAAGATGTGTTTACATCATAAGTAATTTACTTGCAAACAAAAATTAAAAAATAAAGGTAGATTAATGATGAGACACACTTATTGTGAAAAACTTGAAAGAATGCAGTCAGATTCTTACTTCGATCACATTCTTCAATTGCTCGGGCAGCTTGAGATGGTTTTAAATACCTCACATAGCCCAAACCTTTACTTTCTCCAGTAGTCTTGTTTTTAATAATGCTGCAATATTCAATGTCTCCATACATCTAGAACAATTAAAAAGCATATTAATTTACAATATTTGCAAATGCATTAGATTTCCATGTGTTAAGCCTGTCTAAGAAATTAAGACAAAGGCAATTTAAAATAACAATTAACAAATAGTGAATCAGTACCTTAAACTTCTCTCGCAGATCTTCCTCTGTATAGGATTTTGGTATCATAACAAAGATTCGTGTAAGCTCCTCGTCTTCAACATCTCGGTGGCTTCCAGAAGCTCTTGACTGTGCAATAAATACCTGATGAAATAATTACGTAGACATTAATTACTAGAGAAAGGGTCTTAACCACATATCAACAAGAAATAAAAATACGTTTTTTTAACAAGTGTTTGTATTTATCTCTCACATAAGGTAGCTTTCCTAACACGGAAAAAAGAACATCTCTGATCATAGATGCATCTGTGACAAGATCTACAAACATAATACAACAATATAACCCAAATGGTTTCTCCAAACAGGACAGAGGCCAGCAGAAGTTCTCACTGGGGATAATGAAGAATGGTCAGGAGTATCAAAGCCTGATTCAGCAGCACTGACAATGTCACAGGGGGGCATGTGAGGTAGCAAAAAACACATTACTGCAACAGGCCTAGTATAGTGACAAAAGATAAGCAAGCAAACAAAAAAGCCTAGCATCTTATTAAAACCTCACTACTGCAGTTCACTGTTCAGTTGGGTCGAAGTCTGCAGGTCTAGTGCTCTATGAAGGATCGTAACTTCTCACATCTGTAATTGTTAAAATCCTTTTTAGTTATTGAAATAAATTTAATCTCAGAAGTGCAACCCAGAAGACAACCAAGCAAAAGATCCACAAAAAAACAACCCCAAACCAACTAAATAAGAAAAATATAAACAACCTTCACAGTAAGCCTCGTACGTAAAAGCAGCAACTGATTTCACAGATATCTTAAATTATTTTTCTCATAGTAATGCAGAGGAGTAAGGAACACAACTCTGATCTTTTGGCTTCTAATGGCCAGTTCTTCAGAAAATATTACACTGACTCAACCGCATTTTCAAATGAAACACATGGAATCTTCTTTCACCGGTTCGAGGTCATTCACAGACTCTTAGTACTCAGGGAATATGAAAACAATCCAAGACGCTCAAAGCTGCCAGACAGTTCCGTAGATAAAAACACATAATTGTTTTGAAACAAAACAAAACAAAACAAAACGTACACAAGCTACAAAACCAATATAAAACATACTCCCAAAGACTGCTCTATTTATTCACATCGATTTTGCTTACAACACTTACAGTGTTTTAGAATATTTCACAGACTCCCTTAAGGTAATAACAAAAAACAAACAAACAAACAAACAAACAAACAAACCTAGTTCCCAGCTACTGCATTTCCCCCAGACCTGTTGCAGCTTATGACACTCGTGGGAACTTCAGGCACGGGTGGGAGCAGCGGCAGCTCCTCCTGAAGAGCACCGCCAAGCCCGCAAGCCCGGCAGCCGAAACCGCCCCGGGCTCGGCCCATAAAGGGTGCCAGCCCGGGCCCCAGCCCCGACCCCGACCCCGGCCCCGGGGCGGCGTGCGGAGGGAAGGCAGGCCCCACGGAGCGGGCCCGGAGGGAGAGCAGGCCTCGTCGGCCCCTCGCTGGGCTTGGCCAGGGCCGCTCCAGGCGGGCCTCCGCCGCCGGCCGCCCCCCAGCCCCGCAGTCCGCCCCCCGCCGAGGGACTTCCCGCTGCCCCTGCGTCGACCAGCGCTGCCTTCAAGCGGCAAGCTCGGGGCGCGGCGGCCGAGCCCCGCCGCCCTCCGCGGCCGCCATGCCGGGAAGGGAGCGGGGAACGCCCCGCCGCTCCCCGCTCGCCCGCCCCCGACTCGGCGCGGCCCGGCGGTGGTACCTTGATGGGCTTAGTGTCGGGGACCAGGCTACGGCCGTGCATCTCCTCCATGGCCCGGCAGGCCTGCGAGCTGCGGGCGAACTTGATGAAGGCGATGCCGCGGGACTCGTTGGTGCGCTTGTCCCGCAGGAGCCAGATATTCTGGATGTCCCCGAAGGGGGAGAAGCGCTCCCGGATCAGCGCCTCCCCGGTGTCCTTGCCCAGCACCACGAAGACGCGGCTGTTGGGCGGCTCGTCCAGGCACTCGGCCGAGAGGCGGAAGCCGCTGCCCTCCTCCATAGCAGGACCGCCGGGCTCCCGGGCCGCTGGCGACCGCTGGCTTTTCTCGGGAGCCGGCGAGGAACGACCGCAGCGCCCTTTCCGCCGGGGAGACAACATGTCCTCCGCCTCCGCCGCACCGGCCGCGCCCCTCCCGCCTCTCCGCGCTGTCAGGGCCGCGGCCTCGCCGGCGGCAGGCGGGGCTCCCCGGCCGTCCCACACCGGGCTTCAGCCTGCGGGCCCGCCGGGGACGGCGCCGCCTCGGGCCGGTCTGTGCGGCGGCCCCCGCTGCCCGCGGCGGGGGGCTGTGCGGCTGCCGCGCCTGCGGGCCTGCCCTGCAGGAGACGGGAGCGGCAGCGGGCGGGTGGGAAGGACGAAGGAAGGAATGGAGGGTTGGTGCCGAGGAGGCGCGCTCCCGGGCGCCCCGCTCGCCCCCGGCAGCGCCACCGGACAGGAGGAACCTCCGGAGCTCAGCGGGGCGAACCCCCGGCTCGGCTCAGGGAGGGCCCGGGCAGGGTCCCGGCGGCTTTTCAATGTGTCCGGGGAGGGAGAGTCCACAGCCTCTCTGGGCAACCTGTGCCACTGCTCAGCCACCCTCTCTGTAAAAAAGTCTTTCCTGATGTTCAGATGGAACCTTCTGTGTTCCAGTTTGTGCCCCTTACCTCTCGTCCTGTCACTGGGCACCACTGGGAAGAGCCTGAATCAGTTTTCTTCCTTCCATCCCTTCAGCTATTTATACACACTGATGAGATCCCCCCTGAGCCTTCTCTTCTCTGAGCTAAAGAGCCCCAGCCCTCTCAGCCTTTCCTCATAGTGTTGTCCCAAAAGAGAATTCGTCACTCAGTGTGCAATAAGTCAATTGTCACACACTCAGGGAGAGACATTGTTAATTTATTTCAGAGTTGCGCAAGCCTGGGTAAATGATAGTATCCCACAAAACAAGCACACCAAATGAGGCTTTCCGTGCTATATTTATACACCAAACCTTGCAGGATTAGTAGTTTTCCAAGTCCATCCTCTTTACGATGATTGGTTAGTAACTTACATACAATTATAATACTGCTGATACAATACTTCTACTACTACACATGCTCAGGGGAAGAGTCTTCACCAGGGGATGGGGCTTCTTGACCTTTAGGCATGATTTTTTGTATTATAATGAGGGTAGTTCAGTTAAGGACACATGGACATCGCGTTTGCTTGCCAAGTTGGCAATGTACCCTCCAAGGTTTAATTGCTCCAGGATATCTTTGCTCAAAGGCGGCTATCTACTTGTTCTGCTGACTAGGGATGCCTTTGGCTTTAGTATATACAAAGAACATCTTTCCTGACTCAAGCATAATATTGCTACATTGTTCTAAAAGTTTAACCTTCAACAATAGGAGAGATGCTCCAGCCCGTAGTCATCTTTGTGGCCCTTCACTGGACTCTCTCTGGAGAAAGTCCATGTCTTTCTCATACTGGGGAGCCCAGGGGTGGACATGGTACTCCACGTGTGGCCTCACTAGTCCTGAGTAGAGGGGAAGGTCATCTCCCTTGTCCTGCTGGTGACACTCCTTCTAATGCAGCCCAGAGTACCGGTAGCATTATTTGCCACAGTGGCACGCCGCTGCCTCATGTTCACCTTGGTGTCCACCATGACAGCCAGGTCCTTTCCTGCAAAGATGCTTTCAGCCAGTCGCTCCCCAGCATGTACTGGTGTGGGGGGTTGTTCCCCAAGTGCAGGACTCTGCACTTCCCCTTGTTGAACTTCTTGATGCTCCTATCAGACCATTCTCCAGTCAGGTCCATGGCAGCATGACCCTCTGGTATACTGAACACTCCTCCCAGTTTTGTACCCTGTGTCAATATTTCCCTAACATACTCACTTCTGCTGCAATCATTTATTTATTTTTAAAGGGTCTCCTTCAACCAGAGACTCACTATACTACATGGTGACCCACCTCCTTTGAAACAGCACTAGTGTCATAGAGTTCTTCCATGAAGAAACCATTTTCAAGGCCTTTGCTGATAAAGACAACGGCTGGGCTTAATGTGCATCTTGTGATCTCAGGATACAGAGGCCCAGGAAACCCGACGTATCTCATAGGAAACAAACACAAAAAATATCCAGGAAAAAAATAACTATCTGTAGGAAAATAAGCACACAGCTAATAAAATGTGAAGAATGTAACGTTATTATGAAGTTAGTCACATCTTTAATAGCTGGGTTCAAAACCAAAGAACACCGGAGCCGCCAGCGCCCTTGGGCTGTAGTGTCCCTGCCCGCCGCACAGGAGGGGCCGGTGGCCGGTGGCCAGCAGAGAGGTGGCCCTGGCCGGGCACAGACTGGGGCTGTGCTGGGCCCCACTGCAGGTGCAGCCTGGCCCGCAGGCCCTGCCGTGCTGAGAGCATCCCTCAGCCGCCAGACAAACCCAGCCCGCTCCTCATTACCGAGGGGCCTGTGGGCAGACGCTGCTTGGTACCGAAGATTATACCTCCTGCCTGGCCCTACTATTGTCTAACAGCGTGGCAAGAAGGGCTCGTGAAAACATTGTTTCTGTTCTGACTGTAGAAATGATAGAGTTGTTTCCGTGTAAAAAAAAAAAAAAAAAAAAAAAAAAAAAACTTGTAAGAGCTTGAAAGACTGAAAGATGAGAATCCTTGCTGTGGAGGAGGTTTGCCAGGCACGCTGTGTGTGGGCTGGTGGCCCACTCAGTGATACAGCACCCAGGCCTCCCACCTTCTAAAGGGATATGAGAACATCCATGCTATTCTCTCTTGTTAGCAGTGTAGATGATGATACTTTACAGAGCCTGAGTGCAGTTCTTACTGGGATCGTAACGGGCCAACACCTCCTGCTGCAAAATGAGGTTAAAGGATGAAATCAGGAGATAAGGCTGTGCACATTCTTTCTATTATTTTCCACAAGCAAATTAAGCATGTGGAGATCCCCCCTCTCTTTCACACACGCAGGTGTAGCTGTCAAGTCCGTATCAGCAAAGTTTTGTAGAGACAAGGGCTGGAGATTGATCTGGAGGAGACAGTAGGCTGAGCACCGTGCAGTCCTGGCAGTGGCCTTGGAAGTGGCATTTTTTGTGGGGACTAAATGGTGTCCTGGTTTGGGAGCGTAATGTAGAAGGCCAATGGGTATTTTTAGAGTAATATACTATGGATATAGTGGTTGGGTTTGGTTCCATGTAAAAGAAATATTTTGGAAAATCCGGTAAAGTCTTCCTTTTCACACCAGGGCAAAGTCTTTAGAGAAAAGCAAGGTTACGACTCAGCACCCCAGGAGCAGTGTTGGGTGACATCCCTTCCAGCACCAAACTCCGCACTCGTTTTTCCCCAACTCCTGACACCATTTTTCCCGGCACCGCAGAGTGGAGCCCCAAGGCGGCCGCAACGCGACTCCGGTTGAAAAGCACGCACTTTGGCGTGGGGAAGGTGTCTGCGGATGGAGGGCAGCACTGCCTGGAGTGTCACGACACTGTCGCGACTCCGCTACCGTAGCGCGGGGCGCCCGCCGCCTCCCGCTCCCGCCAGAAAGAAGGACGCGACCCTTAATCCCGCCCCGTGGGGCTGCGACGCACCAATCAGGAGGGAGCGTGCTGAGTTGTCCCCTCCGCGATTGGGCGTCGTTCCGGTGACAGCGGCGCTGTGGCGGGCCGCGGGCAGAGCGGCGGCGGGCGGCTCGGCGGGCCTCAGCGGGGCGGCCGGTGTCCGGCTGTCACCGGGTAGGGCCGCGGCCGCCTCGCCTTTCGTGCCCTCCGAGGGCCGGAAGGTGCTCGACTCCTCTTCGCTCCCCGGCAGACTCGGGCCCTAGGGCCGCCTCAGGCCCCCTGTCTGGGCCGCGGCCGCTGGAAATCCCCCTCACGGGCACCGTGTCCTGAGGGGCACTGGCGGAGGGGTTGAACTCCACAGTTCTGGAGACATTCTAGGTATCTAGGTAGTGCTGCGACCCACCGGGAAATCCTGAGGTGATGCCGTGTCTTAGGTCGGCCTGCTAGACAAAAGTGTGCTGACATTTACCCTTACTGGCGAAGTAGCTCTAGAAGAGCAATCAAGGAACTCAAAGCTACCTTAACCTCCCAAGAATAACAAATTCTGTAGTTCTGCACCTCTCAAAGATGCAGAAAAAACAAACAAACAAACAAACACAAAAAAAAAAAAAAAAAAAAAAAGGTGCTTTTTCCTAATTGTAAATTGGATAACTTAACAAAATTTAATTCATGATCATCAGCAACCAGATCATGTTAAGAAATTGTGCAGCTTAACAGAGTCTTACCCACAATTACCTTTTCAATTAAGTCCAGGTCAAATTTTCATTACTTTGAGATACATTACCATACAAGACAGAAATATTTTATAAAACTGTAGGTGATGATAAATGTGACCAACAACAGTGAACTTTCCTGTAATGTCGCTGAAATTTCCTTTTTCAGATTTTTTACATAGATCAAAATGGGTGATGTTGCAAAAGGCAGGAAGATCTTTATTCAGAAATATTCTCAGTGCCACACAATTGAAAAAGATGGAAAGCACAAGACGGGACCAAATCTTTGGGGTTTATTTGGACGCAGAACAGGACAAGCTGCAGGATTTTCTTACTCATAGGCAAACAAGAACAAAGGTAAAACTAACAAGTGACATAGATGAGGTGCAGTGTTGGAGGGGACATATATGAAAAAAAACCCTTTTTCTTTAGAGGTACAATAGAAAGCCTCAATCACAAGGAGTTATTCTCACAACTGTCTACTCTTCATTACTGCAGATGAATGGGAACTGTAGTTTCAGAAACAAAAATCCTCAGTCCCTTTAGTAAAAAGAAATTTTACCGATATTCAGCACACCAGGTCGGGAGGTATATAGCTTTCCCAGAACTTTGTAGTATCAAGGGGCAGATTTTAATTTCTGTTTCTTGAGAGCGCTTTTAGAGTTTGTTTGCTGGTCACTACCCTCTGCTGGCATCGTGGTGTGCTGCAGTTGTTTTCCTCAGAACACTTCACTAAACATGATCACCTACTAGTAAGCTGTGACTCGCCTTGTGTTTTTCATAGAGACAGTCTTGAAAAGCAGTGGAACATCTGAAAATGGAAAGTAATTCTGTGTGGGTTTCATAGTTTTTATTTATATTATATGAATATAAATTATATTATTTGAATCAAGCTATTAATTACAAATACTTTCCTGTTTTGTTTTGTTTTTTTTTTGTTTTTCCTGGTTACTAAGGTGCTTTAGAATTGCCTTTTAAATTTTTCTGTGATTTCTAGGAAAACTTTTGTGACAGTCAGTTTTTACTGGGACTTCCTTCATACAAAACATCGTCAGCATGTATTAACTATTTTTTCTCATTAAAAATTTAGTGAACAAATCATAGAGATGTTAGTACAAATTTTTTAAAGAAAGCCAACAAAGTGGTATGTAAATCCACTTTAGACAACGGGAAGAGTCAACTCTGGAAGGCAGAAGAGAAACTTGAAGATGTCATTATAGGTATTTCAGCAGTCTTCAGTACAACAGTAGGCTTCTGTTGACAGAGACAGATTTTAGCAGGGTTGGAAGGAAACACTAATGTTTTTTCAACTTCTGTGAAGAGATTCCAGGATCTGGCCACTGACAACTCTTTTTCTCATGCCCTTCAATGAAGCATAGCCTTGATGAATTTCATGTCAATCTGCAGATGCTCATTTTCAACAACTCTACGAAATTAATGTTGGATCTTCTATCTACTAGAATTATAAAGATAATTACAGAGTTTAAAAGTAGTAAGTAGTTCTGTGTGAAATGGTGCAAAGAACTGCAACTCTCCATGATGCAGGAAGGATTTATATCTGACATTAAAATGACACAAACATGATATATACCCTGTGCATTTTATATTGTATATCATTTATGCTCACTTTCCTCTTGGATTCTAGGCACATTGTGTTCAGGAGCATCACACCTTTGATTTGAGACTCTTTATATTTTCATAAATATATGATGTTGGGCTCCCTTGTATTTTACTACATTTTCTGTTTGTCAGGAGTTGTCTGGAATGAGAATACACTGATGAAGTATTTGGAAAACCCTAATAAATACATTCCTGGTACAAAAATGATTTTTGCTGGAATTAAAAAGCAGAATGAAAGAGCTCATCTGATTGCATACTTGAAAAAAAGCAACTTCATGAAACGTTGCTGCAGCAGCTGTAATGTCAGAAAAATGGTTTGAATTTTGACTAGCTCCTATGTCAACTTTTAGTATTTTGACGTTAATTAGTCACTAGGGACTGACCTTAGAAAAATCAAATAGGGATATGTTTTAAGATGCTATGACCTGATAAATAACATTGGGAGGTGAACATTATTTATATTGTGTTATATATTTCATAGACCTTTGTGGAGTGTACTATAGTAATACTGTTCCCCTCTATAACGATATCTGAGAGCCCTATTCTGCAGCTGGTTATTGAAACACCCACTGAAACTATTATTCAGTTGTGTCTATGTAAATAAGAAAGTGCCTGTAAGTATTAGGAATGACAACTAAATGAAGGGGTATTTTTTGGAAAAAAAATCCTAGTAATTATCATCTGTGAAGGAAAGTACCATATGCAGTAGGTAACAAAACATAACCTTACATTAAAAGAACACTATATAAGGATGATGGAAGCAGAATATCAAGAACATCAGATATTTTCAGGGGACAAGTAACCTTTCAGTACTGATGTTGACCTAAAAGAATCTTGAGAAGATACCTGAATACCCATGACCTTTTAAAAAGTTTAAAAATATAAACCCACTCATTGTATTGTTAGTGTTCCTTTGTGTATTAAAAAAAACATAATCAACTACCAGTCATTTTTCAGAGTTGTGGATTTTTTTCTCCATTTGAGGCTAATATATTAAGGTATCCTTATCCTCTCACATGTAGAATGAATGAGGGCTAACTAGCTCAAGCAAATGATAGTAGAAGATATTTTCACCAACAGTAGAGGACTGATAAAGGTGATTAAAGTCCTCCTAAAACCTCCTCATGAATCTCTACCACTTGAATTGTGATTTACAATTTAATTACACAAATGTAATAGATTAAAACATACTTCACCGAAGCAAGGTTTCCTTATGTCATCGCAGAAGGGAGTATTAGTACGAAATTAATTTGCTACAGCATCTATTCCCAGGTACTCATTCGGTACATCTATCGGTACTGTTCCAATGCTTACCCACCAGGGGCTTCAACTGATTGTCTTATAGTGCTCCATAGAGCTCAACTGCTGTTTTTAAGTAAGGGAATAAGCGAGAGTTGGGTAAAATGGTCTGTGACACAACTGGATGAATATATGCTTTTTTTTTACTTTTGTGCTGTAGCTATAAGATACTTCCTTTCAGTTTAATAGTCAGGACCTGTTCTGTTGATTGTTTAGACAATTAAAACATCTGCCCGAATGGCAAAAATTTTCTTGAGTGCCTTTCTTAATTGCATTTTGAAGAGTTCTATGTTACTGCCTTTCTGAATAAGGAAACACACTCCACCTGAGAAACACACAGGCATTTCTCCTTGTGATTCTTTCAGGGCATCTCTGTATGTCTGTACCTGAGGAGATCAGGTGAGACTGGCTAAAGCCTGCCTTGCTGTCTGAGCTGGCATTGCGCATCCGCACCGGTAAAAGGTGCACCACACACGAGAGGCATCAGATACAAGCTGCCTGGACCCCACCGCAGCATACTTGTAGCAGCACAACCCCCCGCTGTCAACAAAGTCCAATTGCCTTTTTGGCCTCCCCATGACAGGCTGAGACAAACCTATCGCAGGCCCACAGGTGAAGCTGCAGCCCGGCATGCGGTGTGCTTGCTTTACTCACCCTGCAAACAGAGGTACAGTTTGATGTGTGCCAGAACACAGACAGACCCAGGCTTTCTCCTAACACCCACCGGTGCGCCCCAGGCCAGGCTTCTGAAGCAGTTTTACCATCACAGCGTGTCGAAAGCCTGTGCAAGTTACAGAACAAACCACCGTGATCATCTCTGTCACATTTTATCTTTAAAAGAGAGGACTATAGTTTATACACAGATTTGGAGCTGCAGAGTCCTTTACAATTAAGGTGTTACAGTAAATTGTTCACTGTGTATTTTATGTGTTGGAGAATGGCTCGGAGACAAGGGCCATGAGCCCACCAAGCAGTTGTACGATCAGAGCCTCTTCTAGGGGCTGATGCTGCCTTGCTGATGCTGGGCCCCACTAGGGTTTGCCTGCAGCTGCTCGCAGCTGCTGATACATGAAGAATGTCGAGGACGCTTCGGCCTTGTGTACCGTGGTGTATCGAAAACAGGTTAAGAGGAATTAGAAATAGTGGCCTGAGAAACTTAGTGTTATGGTACTGTGGTGTATCGAAAACAAGTTAAGAGGAATTAGAAATAGTGGCATGAGAAACTTAGTGTTATGAGAAGCTTGTGCTGTTAGCTAACTGCAAGTAGGTGGACCATGTGAATACGACCTTTAGGGCTTAAGCCAATCAGCTAGTGACTGGTAGGCATAATAATTATCATTGTCTGTATAAATATATGTACCCTGGACCAATAAAGGGATACGATATATGATGCTCTATCACCCACATTGAGTCCATCTCGGCGTGTCGTTCCTCCGCGGCTCCGCATTTATGCAGTGGAGACAACTGCGTTTTTTGCTTCCTTCAGTCTTGACTCTCCCATTTGAGAGACTGTTAACATGCAGACTTTTGCTGTAACCAAAGCCCATGCATAAAATCCCAGCAAATAAACTAAAGATGCCACAAGACCGTTTGAAGAAATGCCAAGGGAAGACCTTGTTTATACCCAGGCTTATGGAAACACTAAATTGCTTTAAACGTTTACATACAAAACTGCTACAAAGTAACCATTTTGTAGTAAATACTGGTGTGAGTGCTCAGACCAAAGCTTACTATAGTGAGGTGGCAAAAATTATTTACGTGCACTTATTTCACTTGCATGCAGATGTCCAAGGCCCTTGCTGGGGACCTCAGGGTACGTGCCTGCCAGGCCTTCAGCAGCTCGTGGGGTTTCTTTTTCTCAGTGGCGTGTTTGGGCCCGTGTTGCAAAAAACACAAATGCCACTGGAAAGGCCAAGCAGCAATTAGCAGCTTCGGGCAAGCAGGCGCCCTTCTAGGTGCCTTTGAGGGTGATGGCGAGGCGAGCGCGGGCGAGGGCCTGAGGCCCAGCACAGCTCCGTGGCAGCGCCGGGCAGGTGACAGCGTGGGTGCCGTGGGGAGCGAGGGTGGCACCTCGGCTGTGTCCCCCCCGCAGCGGGGCCTCCACCGATGGTGTGACAGTGGCTGGCGTAGGCTGAGGGGCTGTGCCTGCTGCCGCGCGTGAAATCCCGTCACTTCACAGCGTGTCAGCAGCGTGCCGAGAGAAACGCTCAAAAGCTTCGTATTTCGGTCGCCTTCGCCCTTACCGAGACACGCCCGCATTTTCATGTCCAAGCCACCCGTGCGGAAAGAGCTCAGCTTCTCCAGAGGTGCGGGCTCGGGGACACCCCCCCCCCCCCCCAGCGTGTCCTCCAACGTCCCCACTTTCCACCTCCTCGCCCGACACGCCGCTTCCCCGCAGCCCGCTCGCCGCGGGTGGGTGCTGCAGCCGGGCGCCCCCGGCAAGTCAGCGGCGGCAGCGGCACGGTGCGGCTGCCGGGAGCGGCCCCTTCCCCGCCGCCCGCGCCCGGCCGCGGCAGCCCGGGGCCGGCTCCCCGCTCCGCCCCACGGGCGGCGGGGGCTGCTGGCCGGGGCGACTCCCCCCGCCCCCCTCGGCCCGCCCCGTTTGGCGGGGGGTGCCGGCGGTTCTCAATGAAGAGCCATTTTCCTGCGGTAGCCTCCGGGAGCGGCGGGGAGAGCCGGGAAAGCAGAATGAAACCCCGGCGGGGGGCGGGCAGCGAGCTCTGCCGCCCCGGCGGCAACGGCGCAGCGCGGACACCGACACCGGGAGGCGAAATCCTTTGTCTGCCGCTTCCCGAGCCATCTCCGGGCTGCGGGGGCCACAGCACCCGCACGGAGCCCCTCGTCACCCCCGGCTGCCGCGGGAGACGCGGCAGCCCTTCGAGCACACACGCGTAGCCCTCCCCTCCACGGCTGACACCCGCCTGCACTACCGACACGTGGTCCCCAAAATCGCTGCCTCCCTTTGCAGGCGGCACTGCCCGGACCCCCGCGCCGGGAGGGGCTGCTGCAGGGACCGGGTCCCCGGCAGGCCGGAATCCCGTTTGGTTGAAGATTTGCCCGTGTGTTTTCCCAGACACCCGAACTCCCATTCATGAATTTCGGAAGCCGCCTTCATTCAGTCTTTGGTGACACAAAAAAAAAAAAAAATCATGAAAGAGATTTTTCACGTGTTAAGATCCATGACTCCGGTTTTTCAATCGCTTATGCGTAGGCATCGATTTAGCAATGAAACGTGCTCCCCGTGCGCATAAAAATAACCCAGGTCCGTCCGCCTCGGTGGAAGCGGCCAGTATCCGTCTGGCAGCCGGTGCGGCCGGAGCGGGCCCCCGCAGCGCCGAGCTGTCCGGGCCGCCCGGCCCCGAGGGAAAGCGGCTTTCGAGCAGAAAGCCCGGGGCGGTTTTGTGGGCGGCGGGGCCGAGCCCGCTCTCTGCCCCGCTGCACAGCGCCGGGCGCGAAACGCCGCACTAACGGGGCGCGCCGGGCAGAGGCAGCTTCCCGCACGGGGGTTCAAGAACCGGCATTCATTCGGTCTTTCTGAAGGGGCTCCGCTTTTCCGCCTGTCTCCCGAAGTGCTGAAGCCACGCAAATTATTGCTATACGTTAAACCTCTCTAACGGGAGCGCCGGCGTTACCTCCCCCCGCCTCTCCCGCAGACCGCGGGCGGGAGCCGCGGCCGGGTTTGCCCCTTCCCTGCACACGCGTCGCAGACAAAGGACCCTCCCTCTCCCACCCACGTTCCTGAACGAGGCGCCCGCCAGCGCGGAGGCCCCCCCCCTGCTCGGGCCCGCCTACCCCGCCGGGGGACCCTGCGCGCCTCGCCCCGCACGACCGCGGGGGCTGCCGCCGGGCGGGCGGCGGTGCCTCCCCCCCGCAGCGGGGCTTGCCAGCCCTCCCCTCCCTCCTCCCCGCCTGCCCCCCCGCTCGGCTCACGGTCCTCCCCCCGCCTCCCCTCCCTCCTCAGTGGTCCGCCGGCTGGGTTACGCAGCAGCCGCCGCCAGCTCTGGCAGCGCTTGACAGAAGGGGGTTTGCCCGAGCGCTCCCGAAGCATCTCCAGAGGCGCGGCGGCAGCGCCTGCCCGGCTCACCGGGGGAACCGGCCCGGAGCCGGGGGCCAGGGCCAGAACCACAGCAGGGCTGGGAGCGGAAAAATACCTAGAATAATACGAACACTACTACTGCTACTAATAAAGAGTGGTGGGCAGGAAAAGGAGGTCGCGGGGGAAAGCAGGGGGCGAGGAGAAGCCGCGCCCCCGAGGAGGGGTCCGGGCAGGGGGCAGGAGCGGCCCCTCACCGGGGCTGCCGGCAGCCCCCCGCCCTCCAACCCGCCCCCCGCCCCGGGGCGGGCGTCGGGGCGGCGGCAGCACGTGGCGGCGGCGGGGCATGGCCGCCGCGGGGGCTCCCGCGGCCTGAGCCGCCCCCGCCGCCGGCACCATGGCGGCCGCCGCCGATGCCGGCCTCGACGTGGCGGCGGTGGAAAGTTTCCTAGAGAGGCACCCGGAGCTGGTGGAGAAGTGGCTGAAGAGGAAGAACTCGCTCCCCACAGCGCCTGCCGCCTCCGCCGCCGGCCCGTCGGAGGAGCGGCGGAGCAGCGGCGGCCCCGGCGGCGGGTGGGGCAGCGCGGGCGGCCCCGGCGGCCCCGGCGGCGGGGGGCTACAGCGGCGAGCCTCCCAAAAGGAGCTGCGGAAGAGCTTCGCCCGTTCCAAGGCCATCCACGTCAACCTCACTTACGACGAGCATGTGCACGCCCGGGCGCAGGAGCCGCTGAGCAGCGTGCGGAGGCGGGCCCTGCTGCGGAAGGCCAGCTCCTTGCCCCCCACCACCGCCCACATCCTCAGCGCCCTGCTCGAGTCCCGCGTCAGCCTGCCCCAGTACCCCCCCACCGCCCTGGACTACAAGCGCTACCTCAAGGAGAACAACGAGCGCCAGTTCTTCCTGGAGCTGGTCAAGGACATCTCCAACGACCTGGACCTCACCAGCCTCAGCTACAAGATCCTCATCTTCGTCTGCCTCATGGTGGACGCCGACCGAGGCTCTCTCTTCCTCGTGGAGGGGGCCGCCGCCGGCAAGAAGAGCCTGGTCTCTAAGTTCTTCGACGTGCACGCCGGCACCCCGCTGCTGCCCTGCGGCTCCACCGAGAACAGCAACGAGGTGCAGGTGCCCTGGGGCAAGGGCATCATCGGCTACGTGGCGGAGCACGGCGAGACGGTCAACATCCCCGATGCTTACCAGGTAGGAGCCGGGACGGCTCCCGGCGCTCCGCTGCCCCCGGCTCCCACCCCAGACGGCGGCGGCGCCTGCCGAGACGGCCCGCCACCGCCCGGCCCTGCCTCCCCTCGGGGCGTCCCTCCCCGCCGCCCCCCGTCCCTGTTCCCCCTCCCCGCCCCGGGACGTCCCCGCCGGGGCGGCGGGAGTTGCGGGTGTGCTCGGGGAAACTGTTGACGGGGAGGGAGGGGGGGCCCCGTGAAGGCGGGAGGGAAAAGCCCCTCCCGGGTGGCCGACGGGGCTAAAGCGGCCGTCACAGCGGTACAGCAGTGCTTCTGGATGTCGCCGGAGTGTTAGGCGGCTTCGTGCGTTCTCAAAACGTATTTTGGAACCGGCAGAAGAAAAGTTTAAAAAAATGCTCGTGACAGTCCCAATGAAAATATTCTTAAATCTCGGTCACACTTAACGTTCCCTGCCTGCCCGCTGCAGAAATAATCTCACTGCTCTCAACAGAGCATTTATTTTCACCTTTGCATATGCCCACTCAGCCCACTGGGCATGTGTTTTCAAACCTCCTCCTAGGAGCAATACAGCCGGTCCTGTTATTCTCCTACAAGGACTTTCCCCACCTTTTATTTTTATAGAGGCTTCAGCCTGAATTGTGAAAATGTAGTGCTGGCTTCAAGGCAAAAATTCCCCTTGACTTCAGCAGGGACAGCTGTGCCTTTGCCTGCGTGTCTTAATGCAGGACGGTGCATTCAGTTCACTAGCTTGAAATTTACCCCTCTCTCAGTCCTAGGGGCTATTTCTAGTGTTTATGAGTGTGAGACACTATCAGCAATTTGAGTTTCTGAAGAAAATGAAGAACCACAGAGTGACAGTTTTTCTAAATTAGGGTCACGGAAAGCTTTAGAAAGGTGGGAGATGTATGTCTTTGAGAATTTTAGTAACAAGCAGCATTGCCCTATGTCCAGTTTTGCTCTACAATAATAACAAAAAATAGTAAACATATAAAAACTGATGATGTTTTATAGCAAGCTATACCAGGAAGAAACTTGAAAAATAAGATTGGGTTATTTTTGTTTGAAATACAGAAGAACCATGTAATTTGGGCTGAATATGTATTTAGTTGTCAAGCAGTGAAAAATACTGAGCACCTCACAGATCCAAACTGACAGAGGTTCCCAACCCACAGAGTTCAAAGGGAATGAACAGAGATTGGTAAAAATGCTGTAATATTTAGACTAAGATGATTGAGCATTGGATGACCTTTGAAAAAATCTAAGCTTGCTTTCTTCCTTTATTTTTCCTTTTCTCCATTATACACTTTCTCTTACCATATGATTTTTTTTTTTATTACTTTCACTTCTAAAACTGTACTCTTCCCAAAATATCTGCTGTTGGGGGTTAAGCAGAAGATGTTCTCAGTAGTCTCAAGTGACTAAACAGATAAAGGATATCTGAGTTTGGCTGGGAAAGAGCTTGATCTCCTTTTAACTCTGGATAGCTCCAGCCACCTTTTTTTGGAGGTGAGAATGACACTGGAAAGACAGAGTGTTTTCTAGTCCTAGGGGACTGGATTATTTTTTTCTACAGTGTTTGTTCACTTTGTGCTCACTTCCCTGTGAAAAAGCCCAGCTACTCCAAACAGTTCATTGTCTGTTTCATTTGCAGAGAAAAGTGAAAAACGATTCATCTGGTTGCCATTCCTGGTATTATTTATATTATACTGATGTCTGGCTTCCATTCAAAATTGATTAAAATATGATAATACAATTGATTGTATATTTAAGCTGTAAGTACATTAGTTGCAGTAAAAGGGAAAGTTCTAAGCCAAGTTAATCCTGTAATTTTATCAATTGCAACTTCCCTGCTTTTAGTGGAGTTACTTCTGATGAGTGCAAAAGAAACTTTAGACCTTGACATTTTAATGAAAGTTTTGCGTGATAATAAAATGGAGGAACTGCTTTCTGTTATGTTTCAGAGTTAGTACAGTTTATCTTCCCTTACTTGGCATCATTAAAAGAAGACCTTTCTAATTTAATAGTATAAAGAGCCCTCTGGAAGCCCAGGTACCCGTGTGTAAAGAAGTGACAGCTGTTCCATTTCAGAGCATTGCAGTGGTCACAATACAGCACTTTAAAAATTAATAAATACAATGATATGGTTTATGTCAGCATTGCCACTGATGATGGAAGTGTTTAATCAACCATCAGGTTAAAAAAAGCACCACTAGGAAACTTTGTCAGGCTGACAGATGGAGTTGGAGAAAAAGGGGTGACAGCACAACACCATTTTGTCCGTTGATGAGACCGTCCACATTGATACTACCCATTTGGTAAGAAAAAGCCTTATATTAGGTCAGATGAACACCTCTAGATTAATTTAAAGGTTTTTTGCTTGTTTTTTACATTAACAAACGTTTTAAAAGAGGTAAAGATGCTTCCATATCATCAGTCTTCTAGTCTACAGTATTGGGAAATTTGTTTTATTATCGTCCAACCATCTTTATTTTCTCAGAGCCTGATCAAATCTGAGTTGGAATTCTACTACTGAGTACAAATTGGGTTGCCTGCCTGTATCGTCAGCTACTACTGACATTAATGGGACTTCAGTGAGATCAACACTACATTGAAATCCTGTTATGTCTTATAATGTGCTTCACACGGGAAGTCCCCTTTGCCCATACAGAGACTGATCAGTTTAAGAAATATTTGTAAATGATTTGCAGTGTCATTTTCAGAGATACTGTAAGATTTCAATTATACATTTATTTTTCTAAAGAGAAAAAATACTAAAAAAAAAATCAAATAGTAGGCTGGGGCTTTTCTGTGATCCAGATGATTATTACTGTTGTTAAGTCTGACTTTCAGAACCTGCTCATGTAAACAATCTTTCTGAATTCAATAACCACACTTAGATACAAGGTTTGGAATTAATACTATGTATTGAGAACTGTATAATAATCACTTATTTTAATACTAAGCAATAACCATATAACATGTCATGGTAATTTGATATATGAAGTTCAGGAGTGACTGCGCAAACTTTCTGGAGGTTCACAGCATCAGAGAATTTTACAAATATTTAGTGTATGGAAAGGTTTAGGTGAATGTTATATGACTGATTCAAAAGTTGCACAATGTCATTCATGGTATTAAAAGCTTTATTTATTACATTACAAAGTTATTGGATGAAAGTTTATAGTTTGTAAAACGTATGATCTGATCTGTAACAGTTAGCACTACAGAGGATTTGAGATCAGGAAAGGAATTAGATACCATCTTTGCATTTTGGAGCCAGTTTAAAACTCTCCTGGAAGTAATCCAGTTGCCTTGTAAATTGAACTCCTAGTGAGTTTAAGTTTTAAAATAAGGCCTTGTTAATTCCGGGAACCATTTCTGACTCCTTATTCATATGTGAATAAAGCACTATGTCTTGAGCACACATGTTGGAAGAATCTGGTCATATTGTCAAGGAAATCTGGGACCTAAATGTCCAGTGAGGTTCCTTTTAACAGAGCATAGATGTAGCTTTTGGTCATGTATGGAGACTATTAAGCATATTGTAAGTACACTGGCAGAGAGGCCATTAAACCTTTATCTGCAGTTCTTATGAGTTGTTTAAAAATTTAAGTTTTTTTCCTATTTAAAGCTATGGATTTTTTCATGTCATCCTTTCTTCTCGCAGGTCTTCTATGGTGTTTAGCTTAAATTACCAAACATTTCAATTTTCTTCCACCTTTTAGATCAGTATTTAAATAATAAAAATTTTAAATCACAAGTAATGTTTGGTTATTGTTATGCCTTAGTTGTGCAAAAGTTGGGAGATAATTTAATAGCATCCCAAGTCCTTGTAGCTAGTGAAAAAAAAATCTTACTCCTTAGAATAGTAAGCATACATCAGAAAGTGGTGAAAAATATGCTATGCCATTTGCCAGTGTCAGCTGAATAAAGTTTCTGTACATTTTATGTTAAATTTGGAATTTTAAAAGTATCTTTAAGACACAGAAGAAAAATGGCTTACCAGATGGATGTTTTAATAAAGCGGGGAGCAAAGAGAGGGGAAATATTAAGAAGTGTCATGCTAAGACATGTGGTTTTATAAATTGGAGCAAGTGCCATAAAAGATTATCAGAAATTATTTTTCAACACGGCTCAAATCTTTAGAAAGAAAATTTAACCACATTACTGGAACTAAAATCAAGAAAAACAAGAGACAAATCAAGCTCTGTTTGTTCTGGACTCTCCTGTTATCTCTTTCAAGTTTAGGCCAAGTGCAATGCAGCTAATGGATACACAACCCTTTACAGTAAATTTTAAACATTCTTGAACATGTTGCCTTTTTCAGGCCATCCAGGTGAGCTCTGAGCATTCATTGTCTCCTGCTGTGCCAGGATGGCAGTACAAAGTTATTGCTCACAGGTGCAAACCTTCCAACCTGGGAGCACCCATGTGGGATGGGATGTTGGTGTAGAAGGTCACAAACAAGCAAGAGCCACATTTCATTACACAGGGCAGGTGTTTGTTATCATCAATATTAACAGTGTGTCTCTTTCAATTTTAAAGAGCAGTTAAAGCATTAAAACCCTGGGTCCTGTGAGGTTCAGTTCTGCAATGAGAAGCACTTAGGCACTGTTTATTCAACAGCACACAGCAACAACAGCCGTATTCATTTTGGTGCTGACTCTTAACAAGGACAAAGGTTGCTTATCAGAGAGCAAGCAGAATAAACAATAATTTTTAAAAGCTCCACGTAATGCAGAAAAATGAGTTAAAACAGTTTCTACTGTGCATTAAACAGGACTAGGAAGTACCATGGGGAATGCAGGAGAGAATTGCAACGATAAAGAACTAAACTGCTCTAACATGCTTTCCACAAAAGGACACTCCAGTCTATCACACAAGATTCAGGAAAACTTGAAATTGTGAGTATGAGCCAGTAAGTGGGTAAAGGGATGTAGTAATTCTCCCTGAATCTGGTGCCCAGCAGTGGCAAATGCATCCTCCATGCGGCAGTGGTGCTGG